TTGGTCAGAAAAATATTGACTGCCATACCAGAAAAATTCTTAAATATGGCAGCCACTATTGAACAACTGGTTGATCTCAAAACAGTGAAATTCCAGGAGGTTGTGGGTAGGCTGAAGGCATATGAAGAACGAACCGGTGCAAAGACGGCCAATAACAGCCAAGATCAACTTCTGCTGTCCTATGAAGAATGGGACTCAAGAAAGAAGAAAGAAAAAGGTTTCGGTCGAGGTCGAGGGAATGGCCGAGACACCCGTGGAAGAGGTCGAGGTCGTGGGCGTTTTGGTAGTCGGGGAGGAGGTCCGGGTCGCAGACAGAATTCTCCAGATGGGAGACAACAAGCTGAAAATTCAACCAAAGATCGCTCCAAACTGCAGTGTTTTAGGTGTGATGCTTTTGGACACTTCTCGGCTGACTGTCCAACACGAAAAAAAGATGAAAAGGCAAATCTGTCACAAGCAAGGCCAATCGAAGTACCACGGGCTAATTTTGATGGGCCTGCTCTGTTAATGGCTTTGGCTAATCAAAGAAATAAGGATGTAATTCATCCAAGTGAAGACAAGGTTTTTCCAGCCACGTATGAGACGCATGATGATGGGGAATGGATGTGGCATTTAGATACCGGAGGAACAAATCATATGACAAAACATAAGGAGATGTTCTCAATACTTGATACAACTATTAGTGGTACAGTAAGATTTGGTGACAACTCGAGTGTCGAGATAGAAGGAAGAGGGTCCATTCTTTTAGTGTGCAAGAATGGGGAACAACGTTTGTTGACGGATGTGCTTTATATCCCATACTTAAAGAGTAATATCTTTAGTATCGGACAAGCTAAAGAAGGGGGTTGTACAATATTGATCAAACATGGATTCTTATCTATATTTGAGCCGGATGGTTCGCTGTTAATGAATGTTCCAAGATCCCCTAATCGTTTATATAAAATCAATCTAAAGATTGGGACACCAATCTGTTTACTGGCCAAGATAGATGATCCAGCATGGTTGTGGCATGCCCGTCTTGGTCATGTGAATTTTGATACAATAAAACGACTAGGGACCAGCAAACTAGTCGATGGAGTACCGGCCATTGACCACCCTTCACAGATGTGCGAAGCTTGTTTGGCAGGGAAACACTCACGACAAAGTTTTCCTGGCCAAACAACTTTCAGAGCTGAGAAACCATTAGAACAGGTTTATGCGGACCTGTGTGGTCCCATAACACCTGCTACTCAGTCTGGAAACAGGTATATTCTGCTGATTGTTGATGATCACAGCAGGTTTATGTGGTCTTTCATGCTAAAAACCAAGGGTGAGGCATTTGAACAATTCAAGAAATTCAAGGCTTTTGCTGAAAATCAATATGGAAGGAAAATAAAGGTCCTTAGGACTGATCGGGGAGGAGAGTTTACTTCCAACGAGTTCAAACAGTTTTGTGAATATGCTGGCATCACAAGACAGTTAACTGCACCCTACACACCACAGCAGAACGGTGTCGTTGAAAGGAGGAATCGAAC